ATGTAGAAAACCCGAGATTGTGGTAAAAGCAGGGAAACTTGGTCGAAGAAGAAGGACAGGGGAAAAGAACTTCTCAAATTTTCCCCTGTCCTTCTTCTTCGACCAAGTTTCCCTGCTTTTACCACAGTCTCGGGTTTTCTACATCATGATCAACATCCACCAGCTCGCCTGCGCACTCACTGCTTTTTCATTGTAAACTTTCTTAGCCCCTAACAGCATTTTTTTTTAGAGCGCAGCTCTTAGGCGCCTGTTTCCGGCTTGAGCGGCGTCGCCGTCGACGTAACGGCGCGGCGCATGATGGGACATTTCCCATGATGCACCGTGCGGGGAGGAGGAAAGAGAGGAGGAAAAGGTGAAAGGGAAGAGGATGACGAGAAGGGGGAGGAGGTAAAAGAGGAGGAGGGGAGCGGGAGGAAGAAAAGAAGGCAGGAGGAGTAGCAGGCAGAAGGTTAGGAGGAGGGGGAGGGGTATACCCTTCCCTCAGCACCCTTCCCTCTTCCTCCTCAAGAGCTGCGCCCTGATTCGGCGTTACAGGGTAAACGCCCTTCATTTTTTCATGGCGTCGTATCAAGCTCGCACTTGGGCCTATTCGTTTTTTTATTTAAGCGATTATTGCGTTAGCATTCTCTTAACGTTTTAGAAAGTGTTCTACACCATTGTCTGAGCCCAGCCCGGGCCCAATCTGTGCTACCCGGCCCGGGTCCGGACCGACCCGAAAGCCCGGACCGGGCCGGCCCCGGGCTTTCGCGTTGGCCCGGCCGGGTGCAGGGCTCTACGCTTCAAAGTTGTGCCTGGCACTGTCCGCCGCTGGTCCGCGCGTGTTAAGTAACGAAGGATTTTGTTTGAAATAAGTAAGATTTGTTTTAGAAAAGTCTATCTTTCTACAGTTGCGTCGGCATTGTATTTTTTTTTATCTGCCTATGTTTGTGTCCGCATTTTTGGGTGTTTGCTCGCAGACCCGCGGCAGGGGGTGAGAGCATGAACGGGGAGTCGTTTTGTTCTCTCACGCGCAGGGAAGGGGGGGGGGGGGGGGGGGGGGCGGGGCGGGGAGGCTTCGAGCAGCCGCAGGGCTCGGTGGAGAAGAGTCGGACACCGGTCGTTAACAGACGAATTGGGTTTCAGTTTGGGGCGCCGGAACACCCGTGTCTTGGGCTTCTGTCCGCACTTGTGGCTTTTAAGCGGTTGTGCTTGTGCCCGGTGTATTTCGCCGCTTAGTGTAGAAACTTCGCTTTTAATTGACGCAATAACTTAACTGAGTGGCGCCAGCCAGGCGGCGACGAAAGCATGTAGTTACTCTAGAAGGAATTTGGGCTTGACCGTTGAGGTGTCGCAGGGGGGTCACGTTGACAGCTCGCTGATCATTGGGTAAGAGTGTACCACGTGATAATGGGCAAATCTGAAGTGATTCGTCCGTTTCTGGAGGGAAAGGAGGCCCCTACGAGTCTAGAAAAGGGGTGCCGAGAGGATTCTCGGGAGATTCGGCTATGTATGGTTTTTAATTTCGGGGGAGTTTGAATTGTAAATTACTGTTGACTTGTTGTCGTTTTGCTTTGAAATTAACGTGGCCAGAGTGGCCACTGTAAACCAACCAACGTCGTAATATATCCAGCGGGATCCAACAACTTTCAGTGTTTTTTTTGTTTTTTTTCTTATTCGGCTTCCCGGGGGACTTTCATCGGGCGAACACCGTCATCGGTCGTCACCATCCTGACCGGCCACCTCCCTTCGGAAAGCTGACTCCGCGGGATAACACTAAGCTGTCTTCCTCAAAGTACCGTTTGTGGTCGGCAGTAGCAGGTACCCTGACCCTGACTACAGAAGCTGTCACGGGGCAGGAGGAAGTTCCTCCGACGAGTCCCTCTCGGGTACGGCATACGTGCATCCCTCGTCGTCGCGGCGGCGTCATCCACCCTGGCTGCTGGCGGCCTGCCCGCACTTTGCACTGACCTCAGGCAGATAAGCGCGATCCGGTTTTTGTCGACCTCACTCCCATTGTGTTTACCATGTCGGGTATATGCACAGAAGGACAGCGCGCCGCAATGACGGAAACCTCGCGAAACACACACAAAGAGATCGGCACATCATGTTTTGACTAAGGTCCTAACCTCGTCCTACGTGGCGTAGCAGGATTTGCTGCTGCGATAGCGAAGGACGCATCCTTCTTTTGTTATCGTAACGATTTTTATTTTATTTTTTTGCTGTTTGTTTTATTAGGGGTTGCAGAGCAGGTGAGGTGACTAGTCTGACGTCACACTGTTTCCGTGGCGCTGCCGTCGGCGAGGCGGGCGCGTGGGCGCTTCACTTCACGGGGATGTGGTATCTGCGGATGCACGTGCTGTGGGCAAACGCGGACTTGTTCGTAAGCGGCGTCTTGGTCTATGGTACCCTTTGGCTGTTTACAAACATGAACTGCCGCTTGCGTCCTGAGCGACTTCCGGTCGCTCACCGGAAACCTTGCTTTATGCCACCAGTGCTAGAAAGCATAAATGCTACACGGACGACAAAGTTTGAGATTTTACGAGGGTCTTCGACTGTACAAATTAATGTCTGGGAGGGGGCAAGTTGGTTTACAAGAATATTCGGAAAGATTTAACCGCTCCTCTCCGTTCTTCTGGCGTTCACCTAGTCCTAGAGAATTGGTGGTTAAGCGTTTCATCGACATTTCGAGCAGCGGTGATAGGGTGGGCCTTGTTCGTTCTTTTCTTGAACCGAAATATCTCTGGGGCGTCAAAGACGAGCACCGCCCGGTGGCGTTTGCCATGAAACAACGCGAAAGATATATTTATGTAGGTCAAGACTGTGCTCCCCGTTAAGTATTCTTCACAGATTGATCGGCGACGTTTCACCGATCCCTTCACCAGTTGGCCGATGTAACGTGAAGGGTGATAAGGTATTACGAAATCATAACAGTAAACGTTTGGAGAATAGCCGGGGATTTACGTGTAGGTCAGTGGTGCAAGGAAGGTGGTTTTGACTGATTAATGAAAGTAGTTTGGACCGAATAATAATAATAGTTTAGTTTTGACTCTGATCGAAGAGTCAAGACGGTTCATGAGGGAGCAGTAGCGTTCACATAAACCAAGACCTGCTTTCTGGGAAATTTTGGCTCAAAGCTCGTTGCCAGATAAGGAAAGAAAAAGAAAAAAAGGAAACACATGGAGACAAACGGAAGTAAAGAGGAAAAGAAAGGGCGCTCAGAGAAGGAGAGTGGACGAGATTTACGACGTATGAAAACCCCCCAAAAGCGGTGCCCCACGGACGCCGCGACGCGATGCCGAGGGCGCCGAAAGTATACGCGAACTTGTGAAAGCCAAACAGCGGCCCGAAAGCGTGCCGGCAGCGGAGCTAGGCAGCAACCGTCGTGCTCAGGGCAACCTAGATGGGTTCCAGAAAGAACCAAAACCAACGAGCGAGCAGGAAACGCAACTTCGGAAGAAAAAAACAAACAAAAGTAGGAACTGGGTTTGTGTCGACAAAGTACCATTCAGAGCGTTGTCGTCGCGATACTTTTTTTTTTTTTTTTCGGTATACCAGGCACATTCTATTTTTCGTGTGCCAAAAGAAATCCAAATTATTGGAATGATAATTGGATGGTCTCAAATGAGGTCGAATAAACGGTCAAGACCCTTTATCCCCCCCTCCCCCCCCCCCCCCCCCCCCCCAAAAAAAAGAAAAAAGGTGGACATTTGCATCTGCGTGCACCTTCGAAGGAGGGCTTCTCCTTCGAAGCCCTCCTCCCTTTGGCAATTAGCAGCACGAAACGCCGGAGAGGACCTGTGTCCCTCCTCGGCTCGTCCCGCCTCCTCTCCGGCGTTTCCTCTGCGAAGTGGAAAGGGTGTGCAGCCTGTCCCGCTTTTATTCGTCTCCAACAGACTGCAGTAAATGCTTTGGGTAATTTTGACGAGAAAAAGCTCGATAATGTTTAGAAACATTGTATGGCTGCATATCTGAGTTGTTCGAGATAGTAATAATTGCTCGTTTTGCGCGCGCCGACGGGCGCGTTAATGCCTGCGTGGACGTGCGTTGGTTTGCCGATTCTCCGAAGAAGTTCGTTCCGAAGGCCTTCTAAGTGCCCCTATAACACGGGTCTTCGATGGTGTATTACGGAAAAGCGATTCCCCTCGTGTGCCGCGGCTTTATTGGAGCGCCAACCGTGATCGACTTTAAAATGCCGCTCGGACGAAGCATTCCTCGCGTTATCAGAAGCCCGTATCTACATATTCGGAAGGTGAAACGGAGAGTGTGAAACGTGAGCAAACAAAATAAAGACGCGTTTTTTTTTTTATTAGACATTTTGATTTTATATACGGACGCATTCCACGAGGCTTTACTCTACCCAGAGCTTTGCCAAGACCACCTAAAAGACAAGGCCCGCTTATGACGTCATCGTTAGTGGATCCGGCAAACGCTTTGTGAGACGCAGTAACACGCGCTGTCGACTACGCTGACGGAAGGTAGGCGGCGCTTCATGAATCCACTGGTGGTGACGTCAGGACGGGAGGCAGGCAGGCCTTGTCTTCCAGCTGATATTGGCTTAGCGCGTTGAAAATGCGGCTCGACGTTGACCCCGTTGCAGTACGCGCGTGGTGGCGCGAAAGCGACGATGTATAGTCGTTGCTCAACGGCGCTTTTCAGGTCCGGCGTGCCGGGCAGTCGTGCTTAAATTACAGAAGGGCGGAAAGGAACAGAGAGCGACGGCCGGCGGCGGAGGCAGCATTGTTCGTTCCTTGTCCGCGACAGCAGCCTGATTTGCGATTACCGCGTTAGTAGTGCCATCACGTAGCTCGGCGGCGCTGACGCTGTGCAGGAGCGAGATGCGGCGGCGGTGAGCTCATGGCTCGGCTCCACTTTGGGCGCCAAATTGTGTGCGCACGTGTATCGGGCGAGAGTGACCGCGAGCTGCCCATAATTCCGACGAATCCGGTGGCAGGCGCAGTTGGTTTCCGGGGGCCCTTTTTCTGCGGTTGGGGGACGGAGAGCTTTCGTCGGGGCACACTCACCAGCGCCGTCTGATGGCACCTTGGGAGACTTTGGGCTGCACGACAGGCGCATCAGGACCATGGCGGCCATGCAGTCGTCCATGGTGTCGGCATCCTCCGTGGCACTCGGTCGGCGCTTGCGGCCGCTGCGAAGAGAAACGAACAATAACGATACGTTGTTAGTACTCGTGCGCAGAATGCGTTACACAGTCGCCAACCAACATGGCAGATACGACAATCGGAATGGTCGATGAACCGAAGAGACCTTACTCCCAGAAATGTGTCAATTGGTGCGTCCGCGCATAACCGTGGCACGCCACGTTACGGTGTCGCATGAGATTACGCGAGGCCACGTCGCGTGACCACGTCCTATGGCGTTATGTCACGTGACGTCACGTTACAGCGTGAATTGTTCAAAGTTCACCAAAGTGATGAAGATCGATTTCGTGCAGGGAGCGCGTGGGCATATTTCATCGATTCATTTGACAACATATTCCATATGTCAAACTGGTTCAGTTTTCACAACTTGTGCTTCCAATTTTAAAAACAGTGTTTTTTTGTTTGTTTTTATTGTTTTTGCGGAGGGTATAAGCGGTTCATGATTTTCTGTGTTCGGTTCTTTGATGACGTTTGCCTATGGCCGAATTATTAAACGAGTTTGCTCTGGCGAGCATGTTTTTATTTTGCGCGTGTGTGTGTATTTTCCTGCACGTCTTCCGCTGATCAGGGTAGGGTGCTCGAGTGATTGTGAAGCTGTTCACTACAACTTTTGTTCTCGGGAAATGAAAAAAAAAGGTATTATTATTATCATTATCTGCATAGAACAACAAACGTGTATAGATGAATGCATTCGATACGTGACTTGCACTGAGGTCTCATCGGCGGCCATTGGGATGGCCTCCCGGGTGCCTGCCTTGTGGAACTTACACTTGGCACCTGCGAATCCGTTGTTCTCGGCAAGAGTGAGCAAGATTGACCATCGGCATGTTACGATGACGTCACTTGCAAGTCATGTAAAGACCGCCTTCGCCCACACCGGGTGCGAAAAGTGCCGCGTCTGCACGTACGCCGCATCGACACCAGCGCCGCCGCTCTAACGTGACGTCATAGCCGCATGTTGGTGTGGCCTATATTTCAACCTCCCCACCACCAAAAAAAAATAAGAAAAGAATGAAAGCCGTGTTTTTTTTGTTTTGTTTTTTTCTTGGCGAAGTGCATGCTCGAACAGAAAGAACGCACTGGTCCTTGTTTACAACTCGGCCGCCGTGGGGGCCTTCTTATCAGCGCCAGCCCGGCGAAGCGGGGAGGGGGAGCAGCGTTGGCGATAACCTCTCCGGCGAGCAATGCAAAAAACGGACCGATTTATCAGTTCGGTAGACGAAGGTCAGGCCAATACGAGAGCGCGCCGGACACAAAACTGCTAACGTCCGTTTTTTTTTTTTTTGTTTTTTTTTTTTTCGAAATCTCGGCACAACAACCAGCCCTGGTTTTATTTCTATTTTCTTTATGAATTGCCCTACATAAACAATCCGTGTTCTGCCGAAACACTCGAGGAGCGCAGTAATATATGTGATAAAATCAACAACAAGGCCTACTGAAAAAAAAAAAAAAAAAACACAAAGAAAAACATTACATACATCAGTTTATTTGCATTAGTTCAGTATATATATATAAAAAAATACGTTAAAAGGTTGAATGAAAGAAACTGTACATTCTAAAATATTCAGAACGTCTACACCACTGATCTCTATGTCTATTTGCTGGATCGCGTTTGACCAGCTCCGCCTATGGACCGAAATGCGGTCACTGGCGACCATCTTTAGGTAGAGTTATATCATCTCTAGCCATCATAGTAATATGGCGGACAGCGTAATGGCGGCCGGGTGCCATAAAATAGCCGTGGATCTAGTACACTGTACCGTGGGAGATAATTCGTGCTTGATTCAAGTTGTTCGACGACGCAGATTCTTGAAACCCGGCGTGAACGGTAGCCTCATCTTTGAGGGCCCGGAGAAAGTTCTACGAAAGCGCAGCACCGGGCGAAAGCAGCGCAGCTCGCATCGAATGCAGACTCCGTAACGGCGTCTGCTTTCGATGCTTCCTTCGATGCGACTTTCGATTCGAGCTGTGCTGCTTTTCCCCGGTGCTGCGATTTCGTGAAACTTTCACCGGGTCCTCAAAGATCGCGCTACCGTTCACGCAGGGTTTCAAAAACATGTTTCGTCAAACAATTTCAATCAAGCACGAAATATCATCCACCCTATTTTGACGGCAGCCTGCTACCACACCTGCCAAAACGCTGTCTGCCATGGATGGATTACAGTGGCTGCAGGAGCTGTACCTTGGCTAGAGGTAATATGACTCTACCTAAAGATGGCCGCCAGTGACCGCATTCGCAGAGCGGGCAAACGCGATCCAGCAATTGTCATTGAGATCAGTGGTCTACACCATCAAAAAGTATGCGAGTTGATTTTTTTTTTGCAGAACACGAAGACGGTCAATCACTGCGAACGACAGCCCAGCGCGCATGGCGGAGCTCAGTATACCGATAAACAAGTAATAAAAAAAGAGCGATGCGCGCAGTGACAATGACCGTTTTCGAAAGTCAGCGCCACCTGGTGCCTGCTGCGCCAACCATCTGAGTCCGCCATTGTTAGGGCACGTGTACTCTGAAAATATGTTGGACGCGAGAGTTCCGCCAGCGTTCGACGTGAACTCGGCTCAGCTTCGGCGGAGACTCGGATCCAATAGCACACTTCGTGACAAGAAATGGCGACCGCCAGTGTTGCCCAATAAACCCATAAAAAAAAAGAAAGACGTTTACACAAACCCCCTGTAACGCCGATTTAGAGCGCAGCTCTTGAGGAGGAGGAGAGAAGGGTACTGAGGAAAAGGGTATACCCCTCATCACCTCCTCATCCTACTGCTCCTCCCCTCTTCCCTCCTCTTCTTCCTCGTCCTCCTCCGCTCCTCCTTTATCCTTCAAGCTCCTCTCGTCCTCTCCTCCTCCCCTCTACCTCCTCTTCCCCGCGAGGTGCATTATGGGAAATGCCCCATAATGCACCGCGCGAGACCCTCGTTATTAATGCACCGCGCGGGACCCTCGTGACGTCACGAGGGTCTCGCTCGGTGCATTATGGGACATTTCCCATAATGCGTCGCGCTTTTACGCCGACGGCGACGCCGCTAAGACCGGAAACGGGCGCCTAAAAGCTGCGCTCTAAAAAAAAAAAATAAAAAAAATTCTATAGACGTTTGCAAGCAGCCGCGCTTCGGTGGCTGGTCTGGCCACCGTGGGCGGAAAACGCTTTGTTTGGGCGCCAGTCTGGAAACCGTGGTGGTTCGCCTCAGCAATGCTCGACTGGCAGACGATCTACGCACACCAGCATGCAAGATGGCGGTGCCCAGAGGCCGCACTTGCGAACGGCCTCCATGTTCTGTCAGGAAAGAAGCGTTTGGGAGAGCCAACAGCTGCAGTCTATACGGAGTACGGCTCGGCACATCGTGAAGCGGATAACATGCTTATACGTAAAAGAAAAAAGAAAAAAAAAAAAAAACGGTTGGCGGGTGACGCTTAGCACGATGTTATCGCATGAAACGCCATGTTCTTTGTTACGACGCGGAATGTTTTTTTGTTTTTTTTTTAGGATTAAAGGGACACTCTCAAGTGGATTTTGAGATCGTCTATTTATGGTGATAACTCGGTCTACGTACGTGCTCTAAGCATCCTTAAAAATCCGGAAATTGCACCTATGGACGGTCGATTTGCCCATTAAAAATCGAATGAAAGATCGAGTGACATTTCTGCGCCTTGGAGCAGCCACTGCAGGGTCGGACGGCGTTTTCAAACAATATTTGCTGTATTACGTCTCCTACACCCAAAAATCTTACTTTTTTTTCTCATAATACGCAACGCGCATCGAAAAAGAGATGCAATAGTAACGTTCGGAATCTACACGCAATGCACTATTTTCATGGGTCAAATTTGATAGAGTTGCTGGGGACCGGAGGACGGCTCCTCCAAGAGAAAATATAGTGCCCGTGCATTTCTATCGCCGTGAGTTTACTATACACTCCGTGCGGGAACTATAGGGGGCGCTTTGAAAAACGCGCGCAGCGCCGCTAGCGGAGGAGCTGGCGTTCGACAGTGAGGCGCGTTCAGCAGCCTGTGGCGCCTTTTCGCATGCCAAGCTGTGGCGGCGGAAGCGCGCACGGTCGGAACTTCTGCTTTTTGAGCCGATATGTTGAGGGTGACGTTGCATGAGTGCTGGAGCAGACCTAAGAAGGGCATTTAGCTGTTCTCCACTTCTTATATATTGAGTTTTAGTCGTTATTAGGGGTAATTTCTCTAGTTGCGGCCAAAAAAGGAGTTGGAGCAATTTTCTGAAAAGCAAGACGGCCGCCACCATAATTGCTCTGAGGGGGAAATTTGTTTCGCTCGTCGCTGTAAACGTAGGACTGCTGGAACGATGATATTGGAGGCGAGTGAGATGTACACTAAGTTTCTGCACTAAGTGTGCCAAGTTTCATTAAGACGGTAGGTGTGAAAGTTGTTTCTAACGAATAAAGAAATAAAGCTGTACGGGATATCCAATATTGGACCCAAAATGTTGTGTTATAGCGGGCTGTGCAAAGTGCAGATTTGGGCACACAGGTGCTTGGACTTGACAGTAACATAACACAGCACTTAATATACAAAAAAAAAAAAAAAAAAAAAAGGTGGCATAGGGAAATCAGGTGAAAATTTGGTTTGGGCGGCGTAACTCAATGGGAACCGGTTTTGACCATGAAAAGGCTGTCAAGAGAATACCACTGGTCGGGGGAGGTGGAGACTTTAGAGGCAGGAAGGGACTAGTGGACTGTACTTCCAGTTTAAACAACTTTACGAAAGGTGGTTCCAAAGCCGAGAAAACAAAGTTGTCGGCCAACACACGGTTTGGCCGCCAAGGACTTTTGCGGTCAGCTGTTGTGTAAGAACCTGTTGTGCGAGGTGCTGATTTTCGGCCCACAGGTACTTTGACATGACCGTCACTTGGCACAACACTTATTAAAACAAAAATAGTTGGCATGGCGAAACCAGGTGGAAATTTAGTTTGGGCGGCGTAACTAAATGGGAACTGGCTTTGACCGTCAAAGGCTGTCAGAAAATACCACTCATCGTGGGAGGT